AATAACGGCTCTTTCAACACCGACAGCCAGGAGCGCCAAAGTACCGCACCAAATTGCAAGAACCAAGAGGTTTTGTACGTAAACCCATTCTCGTCTTCCCTGGATAAGCCATTGGACCTTTTTAGTTTCTGAAAACTTTCCTCCATCTCGCGCGAGACTCTGATAAGTAGAGAGAGTTTTGTTAAAGCTTCGATATGCTGGTATATGAATGAACCTACTTTCCCACAGCGAAGTTGTCACAAATTTTGGCTATACGTTCACGTGACTCAACTTCTCGGCCTGGTACTACGGCTAAAAGTTGTACATAAAAGTCTGCAGGGTTGTAATTGGTCGGACACTGAGCGCCAATGCTGCGAAATGAGAAAGAAGTCAAGAACCAATACGACATATGGAGTTATATTTCGTCAATTATAATTTCCTCCGTGTTTATATGCAGATTAGGAAATATGAAATTTACAGCCTTATTATGTATCTCGAACGATTAGCCGCACCAACAAAATCGTGTCTGATTGGAATTTTATTACTATTGTTCGTATTCGTCTTGCCTTACGTAGATAATGTTTAAATCGGCTAGAATGATGTCGCCGGACAAATTTTTGACGCATTCCTCTGCAGACGAATTGTTCGTGCGGCCAATCGTTTGAGATATGTAATAAGGCTGTTATTATATTTTAAGACCTCCGCCTAAATATTTCGGAAAAATATTCAGATTTCTGTGAGCTGGATCTATTTGAAAATACCTACATAAATAAATATTTTTTTAAATAAAATCGATTTACAATTTATTTAATCACCTCGGATGATACAAGAGTTTAAGCTTAAGACGTCTGCATAAAAAGGTTTTAAAAATTTACCAACGGAACCAAAATAATGAAACTTTTGAAGGTATTTTATATATAATTCATTTTAATTTGAATATCCGAAGCATTTTTGGTGATGCACCCTAATGTAAAATCTCTTGTACTTACTATGAGAAAAAGTCCACCGCCTCTCCAGGTGTACCTAAAAATGCCACTCGACCTTCCGCCATCAGCAGAATCTTGTCGAACAACTCAAATAACTCGGTCGACGGTTGGTGTATAGTAAGTACAACGGTCTTCCCTTTCTGTGACAAC